ATTATAATATCTTATAACTCATGAGATTTTGATATTACGGAGCTTTTGATATAACGGAGCAAAGGACTGGAACCATGGCCTCCGTTATATCGAGAGCCACCGTGTATTAGTTGAGCCCAAGTGGAGACATGTATTTAAAGAGGCTTTTCATAGAACACATATTTAGAGGAAGTTGCATTTAGATGTCTAGCCTTATTAAATTTTTAAAATTTTTAATTTTATATATATATTTTCTATAGATGTAACGGATTTAATCTTGACTATTGTAAATGAAATATCTCGTTAAACTTTGTGGAATATGAAGAATATGAGAATTAAGTTGAAATGAACTAACCATCGACTTCGTTTGGCGCGTCTTCGATACTACACATGGCTAAAAAGAAAATTATCGCAAGCGACTATTACGTAAAAATTTTTATTGTATGAGAACATGTGACTTGCGAATTACAGTGCCACCACATTAATTTAAGCCTTAAACCCTTTAAAGTTTAATTTTAGCTTTAAAATTTGAGGTAAAATTTTCTATAGATCATATAATAATTAAAAACAAACATGTATGTAGTGATAAATTCAATTTATAATATATTTTTGAGTTTTTGAATTAGTAATTCTAATCACATCAACACCAACACCATATACGTTTATTATAGTAACTTTATTATATTAAAATTTAAAATTAGGATTAGAGGTTAGGAAGGGTTTGTTTGGGACGTTAAAGATTTTACTTGGAGCAGTAAAGCTGTTTTGAAATATATAGTCCGACATGTGATATCGGAAGACTAGATTCATTTATGCGTATCAGTTACCAAACATTTTGATACTACAATATATATTTATATCTATATATCAAGAATTCAAATTAAATCACAAATTAACGTTAAATCACAAGTACGATTAGAAATTGGTAAAATATACAAGATTGATTTTTTTAAGTAATGATAGGTCTAAATAATTAGAAGATAAACTATATAACTATATAGGCTAACAATAGAATGTACACTACATTTAATTCCTTTTAAATAAAATAATCTATAATTGATAAAACAGGTTTAATATAATTAGAAACTTTCTGAACTCGCAGAACTTTTGCTACCATCGCCTTCTAAAGAAAGATCGTCCCAATTCATACTATCCCAATAATTCTCTATATACTTAACAATTTTAGCTACCGGACAATGCGCTTTGCTTTTTCTAACTTTTAAACCCATTTCCGCAGCTCTTTCTATTAACTCTTTATCCGTCAGTGTGTCAAGTAATGCTCTGTAAAGTTTGTCAGCTGTGATAGTACCTGCATGAATACCTGCATTTACTGAAAGACCATGTCGATGCAATATAGATGCCCACCACGGTTGGTCTGCAAAGTGCGGAACCTAGAAAATAACGTCATAGATTAGCATAATATTATTTATTAAATATAGTTTTTTATATACTCACCGAAATTGAGGGAACACCAGCTCTTACGACAGTATGTGTCGTTCCTGCGCCTGCATGATGCACAACGCATGCAACATAACGAAATAGCCACGAATGAGGAACGTGCTCAACAAGAAATACTCTACCAGCCTGAATGAATTTATCCAATTCTGAATTTTTGACCCTAAATAATGTCAGGTGTGATGAATAACTTTATTTGATTTTAAAAGAATTATACTTGATGAAAACATACGTGGACACTCCAGAGAACAAAGCCCGCTGATTTTCTGGAAGCTTTTTCATAACTTCTATCCATAAACGTACTCTGCTTTCAGCATCACTAAAACTATGCATTGATCCGTAACCAAAATAGATCGGTCTTCTTCCTTTACGTAAAAAATCAACCTTAAAACGAACCAAATAATAATAAATGGATCAGTAGTTGGAACTAAAGCAGTACTTTATATTTTAGAACAAAAGTTTTAATAAAATACCAATTCTGATGGTGGTTCAAAATTTTCTAATTCTTCATTAATACTTAAAAATGGATAATCAAATTGCTTTTCCATAGGGTTATTTCTATAAAATTTTCAAAGTCGAGAATATATTAACACTTAATATCGATTAGAGAATAAATTAGATTTATATTAAACGTACGGATTTGGTGGAATTTTAATCAAGTTTTTGTTTGAGACATGTAATACAGGAATCTTATTTTCCTCGAAAGCACCACCTGGTAACCATGGAAGCCTGTATTATGTAAGGAAAATTATGATATCTATCATTCTAATATGGACAAGGCAAATGTCGTAATTAAAATATACATACCTTTCTACAGTCGGTAGACCAAGTTCCGCCAGTCTTTGATTGTAAATCTGACAATAAGTTTAAAGGGACATAAAATAAGTACTCGTGCCATTACCGATTGAAATAACATAAGCCAAAGACTCAAAGCTCTTACGGGTAAAAGACCGACATCAGAGCAACGAGTAGCAAAAACATCCTATAAATTTATTGTATTAAACATATTAATAACTAATATCATATTTCAAGAAAAAACATTTAAAATTCATAATCGAAAACATACTACTGTTTTCCATATGGTGACATTAAGTTCAAACGGTAACCATTGCAGAGAATCGAAAGATCGGCCATAAATGGCCTTAAAAAATGGATGATTTGTAAATAAAAGCACTCAAAAGATAAATAACATTTTGCTAAATGATACCAACCCCTGTATAATTCTTACTACTTGCGTAAGGATAAAACATAATGTATGCAACAGGAATATTTCTTATTATACACTGTACAATTGTAATTTTATTGAGATAAGTTATTATTATTATTATTTGTTTTGCATCGAACCGATTCTTTAATTACCTCTGGATACATATATGTTGAACCTGTACCAAGTAATACAAAATCAACATCTCGCAAGGCATTTTCAGCATCTCTTTTTAAATTTAATGCAAGAAATATATTTAAATAAATATAATTAAAAAGAATAAAACACAGATAGTTGAAATATCCAAAACTCACGCATATGATTTTTTAAAACCTTGCTTCAAAAATGAAAATGTGAATGGAACCCCTAATATTGTATTTGAAGAATATCTAACCATTCGCTTCCCTATTACAAAAAAATTACGAACAATTTAGTATTGGAGTTACATAAATTTAAATCGAAGACAGATGCCTTACCAGCATCGGTATGTTCCTGAATAGAAAAAATTGTTACAGTCAATTAGTGAAAATTAAGTAAAGTCATAAAATAAACAAGAACTAACCCATTCGTGTATCATATCCCACTATTGAAAGATACAAATTCCAAAAAGTGTTAATAAATTTGACGAATCTATGGTGTAGAAATTAGTATTGATTTATAGAGATAATACCTTTATTTCCCTAAACTCAAAGCCTTTCTTTTCGATCAATTCTTTAAATCGCACATTAGCAGCAACTATAACCTCATGCCCACGACGAGAGAAACCCACGCCCACATTTATAAAAGGAAGAACATCTCCCATGGAGCCGATAGCTAGATTAAGATAATAACACAATTTGTTGTAATTAATACCGAGATAACACCATTAGTGTTGCGGAAGAAATTACTTTCGCGTTTTGTCCAGTTTTAAACTACAAATCACAGGTAGAACAATAAACCTTTTCAACAAGTATTCTTTCAAAAATCCTTGGTGTGATATGCAATCTTTCTAAATA